GCTTCCCAGCAAAGACAGCTCTGCCAAATGAGTTCACTTGCCGTTTTGTTGCAGAACTACTTTTAGTGAATTTGCAGCCAAGCATGCTAAAGACTCGAGGTTCAAGGCAATCGAAAAGATGAAAGATCGAGAGGCCTTGTTTAATGAGTTTATCACAGCGGCAAGAAAGAAGGAAAAAGAAGACTCGAAGACCAGAGGTGAGAAGGTAAGGTGGCCTTTTTCGTTCCAGCGGTGTGAGTGGTGTGAGTCTGAGTGAGGTGGGACAAAGCCAGCACTTGGTTTCCAGTGAGCCCTTTCTGAGCCTCCTCTTTCCGTAGAGGTTTTACCATGTAAACACTTCACAGATGTCCCTTTGGTCTTTCTGAACTAACTATTTAAGTTTGCAGGTGTACTGACTTTTAGAGTACATCAACTTGAATATGCATTTACTTGTGAAGCTGAATTTGCTTACGTAATCACACTTTTTTTGTTTGCCTAAGCAGGTAACATTATATTCTTAACTGGAATAATGCCTGATTTTTTTTTTTTTTTTTTTTTTAAGTTGTGTTATCACGAAGCGTTAAAAAGGAAAGGATTCTTATCCTGTTTGGCTGGAAACCCCAGAACTGGCCATTACCTCTCTGTTCTCTCAGTGGAGGCAGTAAGAACTTGAAATTCTCTGTAGGATACTCCGTTTAAATTTCAAACAGCTTCCATATCTTCTCCTTCTGTCTAAAAGCTAGCACTTTAGTGACTTTTTAATCTTTCAGTAAATATATCTTAGGTATAAACTGCTGCTTATTAGAATTAAAGGTCAACTATTAAAGATTAATGAACTCCAAATGTCACTGGAGCGCGTTGTCAATAGCAGGAGCAGGCGCTCTCCGCTGGGGAGGCCACTGCGGAGGTGGCATCAAATGTGATCAGGAAAACGTGTGGCCACTTCAGTGTCCCTGTGTGTTGTGTGAATGGAGAAAATAACCTCTAACACCCAATAATGTCTGACAGTTTAAAGTCTGCAATATTTATTTTGTTGTATAAAGTTATTGCAAATTTCACCTACTAAGAATGCTTACAGAAGACAAAAATGCTGAAAAACAGGTTAGATTTGAGGACAATTTTGTTATTGAATAAGTTTTGCTTACTGTTTTTAATCTAGGTACTCTGATTTAGTTTGATTCTGTACTTGCTTTTTTTCAAATGTTGACTTATTGCTGATATTTTCAATAAATGTGCTTTCAGAGGAGAGCTGATGTAGTTCAAAACTAGACTTTTACATACTGCATTTCGATTATGAATATGGAATTTTAAAGCATTCTTGCAGCTTAATAGTGCAGTTGAAGACTTGATAAAAAGTAAATGTTGTGTTGTTGCATGATTGTTCTAAAGTTGAAAAGTTAAAAGAAGAGAGATTGTGTTTGTTTGCTTTTGAAATAATGTTTTTTTTCTCCAAAAGCCTTTTGTAACCATTTTATGTATTCTGTTTTATAACAAGTGGATAGACTTTACAGTTATGTGCTGTGCGGCCTGTCAATCAGTTCAGTCTGACAGCTGTCAATCACTGACACGCAAATATTATGGGATTCCCTAGTGAGGAAAGAATTGGTATCTCTGTGTGGTGACTTTAGCCTCCCGCTGTTCCGGTACTTTACATTTTTTTAGTTTTTTTCCTTGTGAAGTGATGAGAGTTGTACCTGCAATGTGTTAACTGCCAAAAAAAAAAAAAAAGACTTCTAAATACACCTGAAATATTTTCAGTCTTATTCCTTTGATTTTGAAAGTGCTTAAAACATAAAAAAAAATTAAGGCATTTAACTTGAAGCTTTCTCAGTCTGTTTTAAAAGTCCAAAATCTTTGTTTAAGGAGGATCAGCTTCGCAGAAATCTTTAACGTAAGGGTTTCAAATTATGTAACGTTTTGATTTTGCTTCATTGAGTTGTGGCTTATTGGATGGTGATGGAGCAGCCAGCTTTTCAGATGGTTGGTTTTGTTCCCGTGGCTCGTTTCAGTGAGTAAATACAATGCTAATACTTCTCAGATGACAGAGATAAGGAAGTACATGTGGGTGAGAATATTGGGGAAGGGACTACGAGCTGGTGACATTGACCAAGCTGCTCACGTGCTGTCCCAGGACACAACATGTTCCATGTCCCGGAGATGAGCTGTGCCAGATGAGCCTGACGTCCCACCCTGCGCAGCCTTACTGAAACGCCCAGCGGCAAACGTCCCGCAGCCCGCTGTGCCGCTGGCTCTCCTCTGTCCCTATCCTGAGTCAAGATCTCCGAACAGCTTCCTTACATTCTGCATAGTTGAGCTAGTTGCTGTGTTAGGCAGCATCATAGAGCTGTGATCTGAAAAGGTTATTCCTTGAGGAGATGGTTTTGACTCAATTTTTTGAGAAATTTTTGCCTTTTTTAACAATCGAAACCCAAATTGCAATACTTGCCCCATATACGTTGCGGATGACTGAAGTTAAACCCCCGCTTTAAGAGCATTAAAGGTCTGGATGAGTCATTTGTTTTTCTCGGGGGAGTTGGCTGTCCTCTCCCCGTTCTCTGCTGTGTCCCTCGCTGGCAAAACAGCAGCCGGCGCAGCTGGCATCGCGGTGCGGGCGCACGGCTCCTCGGGGCGCCAGGCAGGGTGCTGCGGGCGGCTCCTGCGGAAGCGTCTTCCTGCAGACGGTGGGTGGTGGTCTTGGGTCTGGTTTTGCATTGCAGCTGGTGCCACGGTGGTGCCAGCAGTGTTGCGGGTAGGCGCTTTCGATGCGGTGGAATATAAATGTGCCGATGTGATTTGTGCAGAAGCTTTGAGATACCCTTACTTTATAGAATTCTGTGGTAACGTCTGGGAATTGTTCCATTTTTAACAAATATTTCTAATGTCATGGCTTAGAAAGCTTCATATTTTTGATACTGCATGCATGTTTTAAGATATTTTGAAACAACATTCTTAATTTTACAATGAATAAACGGTTTGCTTAGTGTTTTGTTCAGCTACTTTAAGAAAAAGTGATAGTGCTGTAGATGTAGAGCAACTTCCCACTGACGCTAACCAGTTGTTTTCTAATCTCTGCTGACTATCTTAATCTCTCTGAGATAGTAAAGAAAAAAGCCTATAAAGCCTTTCATGTTTGTATGTTAATATTGTGAAGAACTAAAATTATCGGTGGGCAAGGCTGCAGAATGTTGGTTCTGATCTTCGTTTCGTTCTTGCATTCTGTGACTAAACACGTTTTTAGACAACGGGGATGTGACAGTTCTCTGGCAAGCCAGAGTCTGTTCGCCTGTCCATCTTCTCACTTCCCTTCTGAACCTCAGTGTTTCGCAGCTAAATTGCTTTTGGTGGCTTTCTTTTTTTTAAAGGGATGAGGAGGGAAGTTAAGTAGCAAAAAAACGAGTGGCCAGCCCTTCTTCTAGGTTTTGGGGATTTCTAATTAGCGTGCCATGAGGACGGGTTTGTCCTGTGGACCGGCGGGTCTGGGATGCTGCGAAGGCAGCATGCCTCGCCTGGCGTCTGGAGTCCCTGGAGTCACCCTGGCACTCGGCGAGTGCGGCGCACCGGCCCCTCGCCTCTGCTTCCGAGAGACGGAGGCTTACATGCCGAACCAGGCTTCTAAGGCATAAAGTGGTGGGAATAAAAAGGAGAAAATGCCTCGGAGCTAAAGTGCAGCAGGAACAGGGAAATCATCTACCCCAGAAAAAGAGATCTAATAAAGGCACAGTAGTTGCTCTTGCAACTGCTGGTTCTGGGAGTCTGGATGAAAACGTGGTGCTAGTTGTCTCAATAAAGAGCCTGATACGATTGGTCCTCTGCCAGCCCTTTGCAGTGGCTGTTCTTATGGACAGGGTGCTGACGTGCCATTTCCAATTGAAAACCTGGACTAAAACATTTCCTTACTCTTAGTATGTGCCTATCCATCTTAAATGTAACTTCCTGCATTACCCTACATGGGTAATTATTGATTAGGTCCACCTTAAGACATTGCTCTTTATCAGCAGATCCAAGTGTTTGCCTCTGTTCATTGTACACTTGGAGGATGAATCCATAAGTCCTTGATTTGTCTAGAGCCCTGTTTAAAACTGCATAGCTTCTGTAGCATTAATATGCAAAATGCTATAATGTAGAATCAGTAACTCTTTACTTTGCTATATATATAAAAGCTAAAAAAAAAAGCTTAAATTGGAGTAAAATAATAAAAACTATATTGGTGAATCATTCTTTAAAAGATATAGTTTGTAGCAGATCTTCTTACTGTATCTGCTTTAGCAAAATTGTCCCAAGGGGAACCGAGTTTTCGATGCGGTTATGTCTAAATTCAGAGTCCTAGCGATATCTCTAAATTGTGGTGGTATGTAATGTTAACATGCTTCCCTCTGTTGGAGGTAAGTTGACCCCTTTTCTCGTAAGAGCAAACTGTTGGGTATCAAAGTGCCTGTCTCAAGTATTGTCTTTCTGTTTCTGTCTGTAAAACAGATCAAAATGGACTTCTTTGAACTACTGGCTAATCACCACCTGGACAGTCAGTCTCGCTGGAGCAAAGTGAAGGACAAAGTAGAGACTGACCCCCGTTACAAAGCGGTGGATAGCTCTTCACAGAGAGAAGACCTTTTCAAACAGTACATTGAGAAAATAGCCAAGGTGTGCACGCGACGTTTGGAAGTGTAACTCGGGATGTTCTGCTAGTCACGTTGCTGTTAATGTGGGAAGTAACCAACTGGGAGATAGACTAGTGTGTGCCGTAGTTCCATACTAAGGAGAATTCTGTACCATAGTTACTTGTAGAAGTACCCCAGAATGACAGCTTGAAACTTAGAAGTACTGTCCCTGGTGGTGCTGCTGCAGGCGTTCACGGTACGTGTGTGCGTGCGTACACACACGTGGTGTTGGTGAGAATTTGTCTGGCAGAGCCTCCTGTAAAACCCCGGCTTGTAAAGGTGGCTGTGAAACTTCAGAAAATACAGACGCCGCATTGATTACTTCCTGCCAGGATGGGCAGAGTTTCTTTTGTTGTGATGTTTTTGTATCAGCTGAGCTTCCTTCAGGAATATAGATGGTTCATACACAGTTCCTTCGCTGGTTCTTCTCTCTTAATCCAGTGTTCCTGCCTCTCTCTTCCAGGCAACTAATGGTGGAGAATGTAAAACTGGGCTAATGAATAGTGACTACCACTCTCCCCCTGTCGCCCCGTTATTCAGTTTGTCACTGTACACAACATGCACAGAACAATCACAGTTGTTCTGGGATCTGCATTGTGAACAAACTTCTTTCCCATGTAAACCCTGTGATGCTTCAGCATAGCTGTTGAAGCAAAATTTTGTAATCCATAGATCTCAAATCACTTTGAAGTGTTTTGTTCCAAGATGCCTTTAGTTTGATAACCCTTTAACTTGTCTAACGAAAATACAAAAGGTGTTGTATGCTTTTATTGAGAAAAGTTTGTTCTTACATTTCAGAATTTAGATTCGGAGAAAGAGAAGGAGCTGGAAAGACAAGCTCGCATTGAGGCGAGTTTGCGCGAGCGAGAAAGGGAAGTCCAGAAAGCTCGTTCAGAGCAAACCAAGGAAATCGACAGGGAGCGTGAGCAGCACAAACGGGAAGAAGCCATACAAAACTTCAAAGCGCTCCTGTCTGACATGGTGAGAGATGGACAGGCTTTCTCAGCTCCTCGGTGCATTCTGTTTCTAATTGTTGCACTATGTAAAACGTTTTGCCATTTGTAGCTAAGTTCTTATAGAAGGAGAATCCTGTTGCCTTCTCCCCACTGCCCTGCCCTGACTGTTGGGAGTTTTGTCTTGGTTGGAAGAGGAAGCTTTGCATTTAGGGTTCGTGT